CTCCCTCCCTCCCTCCCTCCCTCCACCCTCAGCGTAAACACAGCGATGTGCTGGCCTGTTGTTTTCGCCGCCGCCCGAGCCTTCGCTGCCAGCATGCTGTGCCATGCGCCACCAACTCGACGGCGATGTGCCCCTCCTCAGTACGTAGAAAGGGGGCTGGGCACACTGCCTGGTTCAAACAGAGTTCCGAAGCGCGACGTTCTGAGTCGCGCCGTTCTGAATCGTGCCAACAAACCCTTGTCGTTTGTACTTCTGCGGAAACGTTAGCAGCACAGAGTTTTAATCATTAGGGGTCTTCATGCGAGCAAGCGACTTATTGCGAGTTCACAGAGGGTTCTATTGGACGTGCGCAGATGCAGGTGGGTGACGGAATTGTAGTTGTAATTGGAGTTGAGAAAACATCATGCCGGGAGACAACCAACGCCGTGAAGTTGATGAACAGCAGAGACGGAAGAAGGTGGATTCAAACAGCCGGAACACTTTGCAGGATGCGAGCTGGCCGATGCAGACATCGAAGGTGAAATCTAACAACTTCCTCTGCGCTCCGCGCACATCGTTCAACTATACTGTGGAGGAGGCTCCGTGGTTGCGAATTGTGACTGCAACTCGGACGGAAGCCATCTTGTAACTTGAACGCAGGCGGCACACCATGCACAGCATGCGAATGAAGATGCGCTCGCCATGAAGAAGGCTCTCGCAAAGGTCGCATCGGGTTTTAGCAATACTTTAGCTACACTTTTCACGTCGTGCGATGATTCCCAAACGACACATTTCAGTGCCGGTCCTGTGAAGCAGGACCATTCGCTGACGGCCCAAGAGGCCAGATTCTTTTCGATGTTGTCAACTCCTTTGACGTTCTTGTTGCTCGGTACGGACAAAGGTTGGGGGTGATCTCTGTAGATGTGTCCAGGCCAATCGCAACCGAAACAGGTGCATATTGACACGCAAGCAGTTGTGGGGATACACGACGAATTCAGCCAAGGACCAGCACTTTTGCCATTACCGCGGCCTATCTGGAGGTGCAGAATGGTTGGATGCTGGCGCAGCCCCCTGCATCACAAGATGTGTGAAGATCATGCGCCAGTAGCAGCACAGCGGTACTTGGAGCATGACTGAAACCATCACCAACAACAGCAATGTCAAAATCAGTTTATTACGCCAACACTGCCAGCAATGCGAGCAATAATGCTAGCACCAGCACTCGCAATAGCAGTAGCAGTAGAATGGCAAGTCAAGGGCGATAACACTGGCAACGGCAGTCCAGCAGCAATGGTTGAAACGCAAGAATAGACAACGCCAAGAGCAACAAGCACTATCACATCGACCGCACTAACACCAGTAGCAGAGAGATGAACATGCCGGGCAAAAGAGCGGTGCGCAACGGAAAGGATAGGAGCGTACACCAGTTCATGAACGGGTCAGCACCATGCATGCAAGTTATGAATGAACGGTCACTGGCCAGTCACCACCGTATTGACGTTTTCAGCCTTTCGTAAAAAAAAGGTGGAAGTGACAGTGCTGATTTGTTCGATGTTCGTCCATCGCCGGGTATGTTGAGTTCAACCAAGGAAAGCAAAGATGCTCAAAGAAGACCCTTGTCAACATTTCAGATTCAATCTGCGCGACTAATGGATTCTATAGTCCAGTATCCAGGAATCGTCCAGTATCCTGTTCGATGGCCGATGTTCCCGCCAACCCGAGGACATCGCCCATGGAGCTCCGCGCGAGCACTGAGCTCCCGCACGCACGCGGGATCATGCTGGCATGAAATGTGCCCATTCCGCGTAGCATTGTTGTGATGCTTTGTTGTATTGGGAATGTGAAAGCGAGCCATTTTTATGCGTGCATTGTTATAACAGCATCACGACCTTCAAGGCTGCTTGTAACCGGCATTTGCAAAAGCTGACCTTGTCCCGTAGAGGAAGTTTCGGAGCTTCGGTCCATCAGCGAAAAAGAAAATGATGCGGCGTGCTTCAGGCTCAGCCATCAGGCACTGTCAGGGGAAAGGGGGATAATGGCCAGGCAAAATTTCAGAAGTTGACTTTTTACATACCGGAACCTCTGGGCCGGCCAATTGCTCACTCAAGACTTTGCGCGGAAACCATGGAATGAGCTGCGGAAGGCGCGATCGTTTTTTCACTCTTTTCGAAGTCGTGTTTTCGCGTTTCGTTTCGCTCTTTGGCCTGGCCAGGCGGCATTTCGCCGCAGCGCTGGCAGTTTGCACAGTTACAGCCCGGCGCCAAGTTTTCCTGCACTCCTGGTATTCGTTGCCGACACCCCTATGACGTGTTTGGCTCCGCCGTGCCAATGCTTGCGAGTTGTTGTCCGCTGCTGGTTAGAAATTTCCGTCAGGTTGGCCTGGAAGGCAAGTCATTCTGTGTGGAATTTCGATAAACCGAGGTGGCTGCGAGTTGCCAGGCTACTGAAGTATCGGCTGTCGTTGGGGGTCTTACCGTCATGCACTCAGACATACTCAGACCACGGTCCGTGAAAGTGGGTTTTAGCGATAAGCAGGCTGTACTGGTCGTGTGTTTTTCGTTTGCTGCCATTGGAACAGGTTCATGTGACAGGAGCTCTGCATTTTCCACGCAAGCAGCAGCAAGCAGCATAGGGTGCAAGCACAGCAGGCGGCGAAGCGAATTGAAAAATGTCGCCTCGTTGTGCTTTTACTACAGCCGAGCTAGACGAACCTAGCAGCTGCCAACTGTGCATTAGCCTGGTAGTCGAGGCGTCCTCAGAAAACTACTGCACTGGAATTTGTTTTAAGGCCCAGTAGGCTGAGATCTGCCCAGGTACATCTCGCAGTGCCTGCTCTGTTGGAAGGAGACAGCTTTCAGAGGCCTTCAAAAACGGTCATGCCAAACTCGCAATGCTTCCCCCAACTTTGTTAGAGCTGCCGGTGCCATAATTTCTTCGGGTAAGATGGTCAGAGTCAAGGCCTCTACAGCTGCCACCTTGACCTGCAGTACAGCACTGGCTTTATGAGGTGTCAAATTTGTGGCCGCCCTACAGCTGGTATATGCTGGTGTTTTTTGTGCAGACACGTTTATGCTATGTAAAGCTGCCGCATGCCGTGCAGGCTCAATAGACCAAACGTCTGGTTTCGGTTCCGAACAGTCTAGTCTGTCAAGTGACACAGGAATGTCGGCACACGCCTTTTCCCGGAATCCTATCCGAAAGCCTCTCAGCCAGGTCCTGTGAATCACTCCGGGCAGGATTTGATGCTGCACTGCACATTTGTTCAGGCGTTTTTACTTGTGCGCAGTCGCCTTTTCGAAGGTTGCCATGACAAGGTTGCGATGTAGCGACAGCCATGTCAGTCATGTGGGCATCACTATCAGTAGTAGTCTGTGGTACTGTGCTTCGATTCACTCTGTCACCGACTGATCCTCGGGAGATTCGGTGAGTCGTCTTGAATGTCCCTGGAGACTCTTTTCAACATGTCGGTATTATGGTGTCAACGGAGTAAGCGTCTGCGGAGACCTTGATGTGTAAGGAAGGCTTCATCCGCGTCTCCTGCTTCGGCTCGCAGCCAGTGCCGACGATCCGGTGCCAGGCCGCGTCGTCAATTTGGAAAGCTTTTATCTGGGTGAGAGAATTGAGGGTGCGTCGGCAGTCCAAAGGCCAGCAGTCATTTGATGGGGGTTCCGGCACTGGCACTGCTGATAATTCGAGCAACTTGAGAGTAGCATAGTGAGCAGTTCGAGACCTCTTTTGCCGGAGTGGACACCAAGAGAGCGCATGGCTTAAGCGGTTACCCCCAGTGCTTTGCTGCCCCGTCAGCAATCGACAATCGACGGAGGCGAAGGGGTGCTTGGCGGGTCAGCGCGCCCCCGCCAGGCAGCCAGGGAGGGAGGGTCTGTGTTCGGCCTTGTCTCTGTGGATTTCACTTGGGCAACGTCTTGGTCCCGAACGGCCAGGATCGGTGACAGTGCCGAACTCCTTCCGGCTGCGATCGAAAAAGGCACAACTGCCTGCTACCATTTCATATGTTTTTCATCCTTCAGGGAAGAAAGTTCCTTGATGGTGTCGAGGGGAAATTCCAAATCTAAAGACTGGTCAGGACTTGCCCATGGGAAGGAAGAGTTCCTGCCCTGCAGGCAGGAATGGAGCTTGATCACACTGTCTTGAGTTCCAGGTTTGACCTGTGGAAAGTTGTTGTTGGCCCTGAGCCTTCACATTGCACAGCAGACTGCTGGGCCCTACAGTTTGACAGTGGTCATGTGGCGAGGATTGAGGTGGAAGAATTTCGGGTCTCGTGACAGGACGCTGAAGGAAGGGCTCGAGGGCTACATCCATCTCAGGCCAAGTCGGAGGTGATGTGGTTTACTGCGTGTTCAGGTGTTCGAGTGTGCTGGGACATGACAGGACTCGTCCTGTTTTAATGCCATGTTGATATTGCGACATGCCGTGCCGAGCCGTCACTGTCTATCAGCACAGCGCCCCAGAATGTCTGTTCGGTTGCGTCAAGACCCAGGTACTTGCCAAGCTTGCACCCTCCATGCTCTGTGCACTTTGTATGGCTGGACGGCAGATGTTCGCTTGGGGTTCTGAGTGCCGACGCTGCAAGCTGCCGTTCCACACCACGAGGTGCAGCTTTTGAGATGTCTGAAGCTAGGAATTGTAGTCAGACAGACGGCAACGTCGCTCGTTCAACATTGCTCCCTTGTTTCGATGCGCAAGCTCCTAGATTGCAACCAGGTGCGCGGACAGCGTACCGCTTGCTGAACGCGGATTTCCTTCCAGGACAGCGGGGCGGAGAACGAGTGCGTAGTTTAAGGCTCTCGCGAAAGCCATAGTGGCAGGAGCCTGGAGAGTGTTCGAGGCTCATTTCTACGACAATGCAGATTGCCAAGGAGGCCGGGAAGGCAGTACTAGTACTGTCGGCGAGTTAACGGCATTGCAGAAAACGGACGTTTGTAACAGCCGGCCAGTAAACGAAACTGGTCTTCGGACGCATCGGGAAACCAGGAGAGTGCGACACAGAAACCCGGTCTGAGCGACCGGTTTACTGTTCAACCTTTAAACCAACAACTTCGCAGCTGAATCTCCTGACCTGAGAGACATGCAGTGCTAGCTGTGGCGATACAGCAGCCTAAACTACGTTAATGCCCCCCCTCATTTTGTTGCACAGATACATAGGCGAGTGTTTGCCGTAACGGGAGCTGGATGTCCGTAACGGGAATCCGTAACAGGAACGGGGGCCGATCCCGTAACAGCAACCACCCAGTTCCTGTAACACCCCCCAGACCGCCCCTCGTAGCAGGAACCAGGTGCCGGGCTCCAAGAATGATTTGTTTCACATCCACCTGCTCTTGTGCGCTCGCCAACTCAGGGACCGCTTTCTGGTCCCCCACTTATACGGCTTCAAAATGTCATGTCGTGTAACATTAGAAACTGACCTCCTATGTCCACAGCAACCCTTTGTCCTGAATTTCTGATGGCTACGGCATCGGTCTTGCCATTAAGCCTCCAAAACAACACTGCATGTGTCTGCGGCGAGTGAAACTGCAAGTTTCCCGACTTGCTTGCACGATCGTATGACGAAGGCTCCTGCGTCTAGTCTCGTCACTTCTTTCTTCGTCCTACTTCTGGTGCTAAGAGCTGACCGAAACCCTAAACCCCCAAAGCCGTTCCCGAGCGTTTAAATCCGTTCTCGAGCGCTTAAAGCCGTTCTCGACTGGCAAATGCCTGAACCCCTGGACCTGACCCGTGAACCCTAAATCCTAAACCCCTAAAACATTGTGCTGTTGTGTTACTTGTTCTATCGCACTTGGGTTCTCGCTCATCCGCCCTGTCTGTCAAGTTCAGGTAGCAAGCTGAGATCGAACCTGCCATGCCTGCATGAGCGAGTGTGTGAGTCGAAACCCCTAAAACATTGAACCGCTGAGTCATCCTGAACCCGTAAACCTCCAAAATACCTCTGCATCTGCAAAGTCCTAAAACCCGGAAGCCTAAACCCTCGACCCAGAAAACAAGCCAAGCTGGCGCGATGGCGAGCAAAAGCCTAGCCCCGCCACCACTAGTAGTACTCGTAGTACGACACTTCGACTTGCATTAGTACGAACCTTCTTGTAGGATCAAACATCCATATTCCTTCGACGAAAGTAATCATGAAGAAACAACTTGTGGCTTCAGGGACCAGGAGTGTATTTCCACACGGGCATCCTATATTCCAGCCCGTAAATCTGTTTCAACCCCACACGCTAGATACCTCGAACGAAACAGAGGCGTCAGCATAAGGCTTTCCTGGTGTCAAAGTAAGGGGCCGAAAGCCGGTGTCCCACACAAGAGTTCCAGCATAGTTTCGGTTGCTTGGCTTTCTGGGACAGTTCCTGTTACGCTCCCGGTGTGGTTCCTGTTTGTACTAGCTCTCGTTCCCAGAAATGGTTTCCGTTACTCCCGAATCCCGAAACGGGTTCCTGTTACTCCCGGTGCCCGCCATACATAGGCCCTCCTAGCTCGTCCGGTGTTGCTGTTCAACCTTGCATTGCATTCGCGCTTATGCCCCATCTTCCGTTTGATGCTACTTCACTTCTGTCAGGGACATTCTGGCACCAGTCATCTGCATAATCGTTTGTGGGTCTTAAGTGTGCAATGCTTGCGAGTCTTAAGATTGAAAAGGTTTGTCATGTTGAACATTGGCGTCGCTTTGCCTGCGGTGCCGCACGCTCGAGTTCGTGTGAGGAACAGAAAGAAAAAGCTTCTCTCGACTGTTTTTACAAGACAACCCCAATACGGGGGACCAGTGGGCGGTGTCATTTCCAATATCGTCAGAAGGAAGACAACAGCCTCATGCTGCACTGGTGGTTGTTTAGCCTTGGTTTTGTTCCCTCCAGTCAAACAGATCCAAAGTCCGTTCGCATGGGGGGTCTAGCCAATGATGCTGCTTTCGGTTAACTAAATAGCTATTTGCTTGGTATACCGAACGGAAGGGGAATCGATACTCGTACTTTCCCTTTCACGCCGAGCCAGGGGAGTCTGCAACAAGCAGACGACTTTGGGGGAGGTCGAGTTTGCCCAAAGGTATTCCCCTTTGTGGCGGCCAGCAAGCAAGCAAGCAGGTTTACGTTCTTTTCCCTTCGCACACACACTTGATTGAAGCTGACCTGCCTCCACGGGGGCACTCGAGTCCAGTCTCCCAGTCGGTCCGCGAGACCAACGTGCAGCAAACCCCCTCGACCAAAATGGTGGATGGGGGAGTGCCTGGAGCGCGGGCTTTAACCCCAACCAAGGCAAAGAGTTTCATGAAGGATAATGCACTCACTGTAGACAGCTGTCGCATAAGTTTGGTGGGGAAGGGAGTCCGAATCAACGAGCTTTTATAGCCGAGCCGGGGGGGAACGCCCCGTTGGAGTTGTTAAAGCCCTGCCGGGACTTGCAGGCGCGCGTCCGAACACGAGGGGGAAGTGACCGCCTGCCTCCTTTGCCCTGGTGGAGAGAGAGAGAGAGAGAGGTTGAAACCATCAGCCTATTTTGATCGCGTGGGAACAACCAAGAATTCGGAAACCAAAGCTGTTGCAATTGCCTTTGTAGCTAGTCTCTTTTCCGGTTCGTTACACCGAATCGAATTCTTGCTTTGTTTGCTCGTCTGCTTGACGGGGAATGCAAGGCAAACATCTGAAGAATGCCGCCGCCGGATTCTCCCAGAAGGGATAATAGGTTCACCGGGGGTTGATTATCGCTTCTTACGGAGGTACATGTCGTGTGTAGAAACCTGGGGAACGCTGTGCATGATGAGTGGCTGAAAACATATGTCGATAATTAGTTCTGTAAGGCGTTTCAGTCAAATATTCCATCTTGTTTGACCTGCAAACGTGTCCCTTATGCCATTTTGGCTCAAGTCGTCTGCCTCGCTTTTCAGGGTGAGCTCGGGAGGGGCCCTTGGGCCTGGAGAGTGTTTGCTCTCCAGGCATGGGGGTGGACTGTTTCCCTGAGCGGGGGCAGGTTGATTTAGGCTCGCAAGGGGTACACAAAGCCTTCTTCTGACCCTCACCCCTTCGGGATCTTCGTCTCGGCGAAGACTTGAGAGGTGGCCCAGCAAGAACGAGGCAGCATGCCACGATGCAGCAGACCAAGAGGCGATCCACCCGAACCAAGACTTGGACGAAGACCCGCCGGAGGAGCACCGGGCCGACCACCTCGTGGCAAAGACCCAGAGAATGAGATCCACATACTACGTGGAGGAAGCCCCAGACAGAGGGGGAACGAAAAGGCATGGGAAGCGTCACAAACTTCCGCCTTAGATGAACACCAGCAGATGAAGACGAGCTGCAAGTGAACCACTAAGTTTTGAACGTACATAGTTACATAGTTGTATCAGCTTTTGCAAGTGCCGGGGACAAACCTGCTGCCTTACGCTCAAATGTAGGAGAAGCGACTTTCACTGATGTTCGTCCTAACTTTAATTTGTGATGAGGGGGCACTCACCAAACTTTCCTCGAACCCCAGAATGGTGTGCCTGCAGCAAGCAAGCGGCTTGCGGGGCCGGCCATTAAAGCACATTTTGCCTATTTTTCTTTCCCCTCGGACAGACAATGTCTTTGAAGCGGACCTGCCTCCACGGGGGCCAGTCTCCCAGTCGGTCCGCGAGACCAACGTACAGCAAACCCCCTCGACCAAGATGGTGGATGGGGAAGCGCTTGGAGCGCGGGTCGAGGGGACTGCCCTCCGCCTTAACCCCAAGCAAAGCAAAGAGAGTCCCCTATGCCCACAAGAAGACAGAGAGAGAGAGAGAGAGTTCAGACCTTACTGAGTTGCGGACCGTATTCATCCTGTGTACACGTACTGATGCCAAGATGTCGGCATGAAGGCGGATACTCTCAAGAAGGCAACTTTCGCTGTTTACCTGTTATGCGGGGGATACTGCCCTTAGTTTTGTGTGCTTTTCTTTCTGCATTCGTAGTTGCCTCGGTGGTGTAGTCGCATCTTTCCTGCCCCTCCAAAATTTTTGGGGGCGCGACAGCGCGCGGGCTAGGGGGGCTTCTCTCTGGCCCATAGCCGTCGCGAAAGAAAGAGAGTTCAGACCTGGTGTGGTCATTGTGTCGTTTGGGGCAAGATGCTGCAGGGGGGAAAGCCTATGGTTTCGCAAATGGGCTCAACGGCTCAACTCCGAAGTTTTGAATGTATGGAGCCTTCAAAAACATGCCAAACTAAGACTGTACAGTGAGCTTGTCCTTGGGCCGGAAGGGCTTTGCACCCAGGGCTTCGGATCCAAGGTCTCCGCTTCCCGATTCAATTTTTAGGTTTTACCTGGTTTCTGTTACACTTGCTGTTTTTTGCTTCCCATTGCAGAGACTACCTTGTTTGGTTTCTCGCTAACTCACCGGCTGTCGGCAGGGAGCAGTAGACTCACTCAGTAGACAGTTGATGAAAGTAGGGTTTCGCTCGTTAGACCATTCCGGAAATTTGAGGAAGGTTCAAGATCCAAGCTCTCACATTGGCGGGTTTCACGGTCGCAAGTATCACAAGTTATTTGATAAGTATCTGCTGAGTTTTCACTGGAGCTTCGAAAGCCTGAATCCGGATGTGCTCTCTTCAGCTGGCCCATCGTCTTGCGAGGCCGCTGGATGGGTGAGCTTTACGGGTCCTCCGAGGAAGCAGAGTCTGGACGGACAGCCGTTAGGTTGCAAAGAGCCACATGTAGCCTCTTGGGAGCTTTTCAGCTTGTTTTAGCAGGTTTTAGCCAAGCCGAGGTTGCCTTGGCTTTCGATGGAAATCGTACATCGCGCCGTTGCAGCAGTTCATGCAGAAGATAGCTTCGCTAGTTAGTGTGCCTCTGCAGAGGTGCAGGATCGACTCTTACGTGTTATCTGCATGATTGCAGCTGCTCGCGCAAGCTCTTCCCCGTTGCGTCCAATGAAAGCGTTTGGTCTCAATGGTCTCAACAGGTGCCCATGCCAACCGCTCAGAAGAAACACCAAGAAGCACCAGCAGCAGCACACACTGCCAAGCCTTGCAAGTATCACCACGGGCGGATCGTAGAAAGTTTGTAGCTAAGCTTTCCATTTGTGCAATGGCGCTGGCAAAGCGGCTGATCTCCGATGTGTTGGGCCGCGGTGGCATTGCCAGCAGTGTCTTGGATGGGGAGGCAGGCATTGGGCAGTTTTCTGAGGACGGTCCGAAGCCCGTTTCATTGAGACTCTTGGCATCCAGCGACTCCAGCGACTGCTTGCCTTGTAGGCGTACTTGTTCGGTGGTCACGACGGCGAGATGCCGTTTCTTGGCCTTCTTGGCCCGGGGAGTTTCTGTCAGCATCGTTCGTGTTTTTGTTTCGAGGTCCTCGCGGTTGCTTGCGCCATGACTGTTCTGTTTCTCCTTATGGCGAGTGACTTCCCTGTTCTCATGTTTCAAGCCTTCAGGGTCGTTGCTGTAGCCGTAGAGCCTTGATAAGAAGCCTTGATAGACTTTGTTGGACTTGTGGAACGCTCAAGTCCGTTTGAAAGCTGCCGCATCTTATCTGCGAGGCTGAAAGTCGTGGAGTCTTTCCGTCCCTCCGAGAACCTCGAAGACCGGGGCGAGTGGAAGGCACCGGGCTTGGAAGTTGCTCCATTGGCGAGTTGACACGGGTTCTCCAGGAGCTGCCGCCGATGCTGGCCAGACGCACGTATGCCTCTGCATCGGAGCTTGATGGGAAGATCTACGTGATGGGAGGCCGTAGAATCTTAACTTTGTCGGCTGCCCGTGTCTACCGCCTGAAGCGGAGGCAGTGCCGACGGACGTACGCTGAACACGTTTGAGGTCTTCGAGCCCAAGGCTGGGCGACGCAGCTTGGTGGCTTTGAGAGCTCTTTTCGTACGAAGTGCCTTTCCCAGGCCGGACAGTGGGATCAGTGGTTCACAAAGCCACCGATGAACATCAAGAGCCTTGATGCGCAATAGTGCGCAATACGGTTTTGCATACCCTATGTTGGCACATCGTTTATCTGCCGCGCCTGAACACCGCCGAGGCGGACCATGCATGCTGCCGCAGTGGCAGATGGCCGCATCTATGTGGCCGGGGGGTTCGACGGCATTCGTGACCTATCCGCGGCGGAGATCTACGATCCCAGGCTGGGTTGCCGGGCTGCGTTCAGAAACCTGGGCCATGGCGGGGTCAGGGCCAGGGTTGAAGTCTCGCTGCGCGTGGCATGCGGCGCGCTGGGACTGCCTTGCATACAACCGGCTGACATGTGAAAACCTGGCAGGAGCAACAGCTGGAGTTCCCACATAGATCCCATGAGCGTGCCCCGATCGTATCACTGCATGGCGGCTGTACTGCAGTGAGACAGGGTTTCCAGTGCAAGGCTGGTGCCAGAGGCTTCCTCCGGACCAGTAGCACGGACAACTCCGCAATGCCTTTCGCAGCATGAATCGAAGCGTCTTAGGTGGCTGTCCAGAACTGCATCTATGCAATCGGAGGTGCAGGGCTTGGGTTGCTCCGGAATGAGAACTGTGAAGCAAGCTTGCGCTAGCATGCTCTAACTGCAGCAAAAAAATTTGGGGCTTGATGGCAACATGCAAGATGATCGTGATTCAGCCGTGATTGAACCGTTCTTATCAGTTTAAGCAAGTCGCACTTCGAAGGCCCTTCCGGTACGCACCTGAATCAATCTATCTGTGCGGTGCATGGTTAACGTGGGCCCACAGTTTTCAGCTCATTTTGCGGGATCTTCTGACGATTGCAAAACCGGGGGAGCTCTTGAGCTCTTGAGCTGTGAAGGTCAGCAGCGGCAGGTGAAAGCGGACCGTCCTCGCGCGCACAGCTCCGTGGAGGCTCCGGCTCGGGGAGTCCTCGATGGTGCCTTGAGGAGGGAAGGGGTTGCTACGGCTACTGGCGGCTACTGGTCCCAGTGGATGCGAGTGGATGCGAGGGGTTGCCATCGAGCTGTCACACCGTGTCACATCGAATGCGAGCCCGAGCTAAGCCCAAAGCTCGATTTTGGTGGTGACTCCATTCGGCGTGTGTCCTTCCGAGGCCTTCGAGCTCTACTGTGAGAGGCGCCCGTCATGTTGCCTTGCCTTTGTGGGAGGATCTTCAGCTGAGACTGCTTCGGGGAAGGATCAAGAAGCTTCCAGTCATGCTAGCTTTGTCGGGGATCACTACGAAACTACTTGACTCGGAGCCTTTTAGTCATTTTAGTCGGTCTTTCATCAGGTGGCTTGAGGCTCCTCCGATGTCCACCGGACGCATCGGGGCAGGAGCTTGCCTGATGGAGGCAGCCTGGGAAGAACCGAAGGGGTTCTGAAAAGTGTTCCGGTTGGGCCTTCCTGGGAGTTCGTCAGATTTCGAAACGAGCGTGCAGGATGAGAATGGCAACAACTTCATCTATGTGGCTGGGCATCTGCTTGGAGAGAGACGGTTTCAGGCTTCAGGGTAGTTGGCTGTTAGTTGGGCTACCGTGTGAGTCAGATATGTTGTAAATGTTGCTGGCTGATGTGGAGCAGGGACTGCAGAGCTTATGCAGGCATATCTACGGAGCCCGCTTCAAGAAAAAGCAGCGTCGTTGCTGCCTAATTGGGCTCTCTCTTTTCAGAGCACATGTGTTTATTGAGTTTAGAAGCAGCAGCAAAGGTCACCGGTGGCTCTGATGGGGATACTGTGCTGCAATCTGGGGAGGCCATATTTCTACCGCGGAAGCCATGCATTTCGATGGAGTCAGCTTGCAGGAGACATTGCAGACATGAATCAGCTCATGTCAGCTCTGTTTGGGATGTGCGAACTGCATCAGAACACCGTGCAGGTATTTGATGTCAAGCGGCAAACCTGGCAGGTGCAGCTGAGTCAGCCCAGTCTTTCGGTCTGTGGTCTTTTGCTCTTCGAGTTTCTCCTGGCAGGAGCTGCCACCCATGGCCTTCCCGCGAATCGCGCACACGTCGTTCGTGCTTAATGGAAAGCTATATGTGGCAGGGGGCATCGATGGCAAGGCAGGACCGATTGCTGCTTCTCAATCAAAGCACGCCACTTCGGTTCACCAGGTGCCCCTGGAAACCTTTGAGTGCTTCGACCCCTCCACGAAGACATGGAGCGCACCCATGCGATTAGGCCCGTTGCTTCCATGAACCTGTGCCGAAGTGCCATAGATTGAAGCGCAGCTTGGGAAGCTGTTAGAATCTACTTTGTGTAGGCTTCCGTGGTGGCTCAGATTCTTGAGTGCAGTTGGCCTTGATCCGTTCGGCACATGGAAGGTGCACTCTGAGTTTCCGGGTTCCCAACGGGCCCGGTATGTCTCAATGTCGACAGTCGGACTGCCTCCGGAGTAGCAGTTTCACCGTAAAGTGTTGAGACCGAAGTAGATCGTCAAGGTTTGTGAATCTTTGTGCATAGTCTGATTCGCATCAGGCACAATTGATGGGTCCGAAGTTTGTAGGGACAACGGGTCAGCAACAGGCAACTTCTGAATTGGCCACTTGAGCACGAAGAGCGTGCTCGTGACAGTCTCGAAGGCGTTAGTGCGGAGAGGCCGGTCTGTGGAAAACCTAGCTCAAGGTGTTCACTCTTGCCTCGCAACATCTCGCTTCCCTGCACGTGAGCCTCAGCACTCGAAAAGAGCCGTGCATGATTAGACTGCTGCTAAACAAGTCTCCAGAGACGCTCGGATGTTCTTCTCATGTGTACATGGCGACTTGAAGCTGAAGCAGATAGAAGCTCCAAGCTCACATTCCGAAGCCCTCTGCTGCTGCATGTCGTTCTGTCTTCTTTGTTTCAGTCATTTTCATTCCATCAGCCCTAACATCGGTAGCTGTGGCCTCCTTTTGGGTGAGACACTTTGTGGGATTCCTGCGGCTTGCAGCTAAGGTATTGGAGTTCATGGTGTCCGCAGGGATGTGCACCGAACACTGCAACCCGTGCTGCAAGTTGCACTTTGCAGTTCACCCGTTCTGGGTTTGTATGAATGTACGCATGTATATGCATGTCTTCATGCATGCATTTATGCATGCTTGCATGTTTGCATGTTTTAATTTTTGCTTGTATGCATGTATGTATGTATGTATGTATGTATGTATGTATGTATGTATGTACGTATGTTGCATGTATGGATGTATGCATGCATGTGTGTGTGTGTGTTGTGTGTTTGTGTGTGTGTGTGTCTGTATCTCGAAACACCACAGACAGCACATAGCCGACTCTTTTGTTTTTGTGTGATGCCACAGTAGCTTGTGTTACAGCATGCTAGGAAGTCTTCCGTGCTGCATTGAATGTGACTGGTAGCTTCAGGCTCGTTTGCAGGCATTGCCATCCAGACTTATATTAATCTCTTCCTGCTTGACGGATACTTCCCTTCCATCAGGGCGCAGTCGAAGGCTGTCATCAATCCTGCGCTGCCCGAGGCCTTGATATTCCTGCTAGCTAGGCCGTGCATGCACGGGTGAATATCCCGACCCGGAAGTCTATTGGAACAAGGCCCAGATAATGCCGAAGGAGCAAAAACTCTTGCTCCATGGGCCGAAGCATGGCCATTTCTATGTGTTCCGCACCTCGATACTGATTCATGGCCTCTCTACGCCTGTCTGCGCGGCGCTCGGCACTGCTGTGCTGTGCCCCGGAAGAGAACAGATATCGGTTTCGCTGCCGTCGGCAGACTGTCTTTATGTTGAAGGGGTGGTAGGATGTGGGAGTCAGGGAATCTTGAAGCATTTTTTGGGCGGGTTGCTAGGCTGTAGTCACTGGTGGGGTTTGTCAGATTGGCAGAGGTTGAACAGGTAGCTGCCAGACCTGACCCGTAACAAGATGTTGCAGCAATGTCGGAGCCACTTTCCTGCAGCATGTCATGTTATCTAGGCGATGTCACATCAAGGAACCAAGTTGGAACATGCTTTCTCCGACTCAGCAACATCTCGCGTGTCCATGCCCCGTGCGGTCGTCGCTGGCACCCGCTCAGGCTGCTGTGGGCTCGCTCAACTACCCTTGGCGGTGCTTGCGCTGTTGCCGCTCCCAGGCCAAGCCTCTGTGCACTGCTGCTGCTGCTGCTGCTGCTGCTGCTGCCTTTCTCGTCGTGCTACTGCTACAGCGACGATGTTTCCAAATAGCAACCATTGCTACTCCTGCTACTACCAGTGCAAGTGCTATTACTGGGCGAGGCACCACCGCCACTGCCACCGCCGCCA